CCCCCACAGGGGAGATGACATGCAGGGCTTACACCCCCCCCACGGGGGAGATGACGTGCTGGGCTTACACCCCCCCACAGGGGAGATGACATGCAGGGCTTACACCCCCCCCACGGGGGAGATGACGTGCTGGGCTTACACCCCCCCACAGGGGAGATGACATACACCCCAGGGTTATCTTCATGGCTTATGGAATGTAAGATGGTATCCAGATACTGTTGCTGGAAATCAGCATCTCACAACAGCTACATTATGGGAATGATGGCTTTATGTTGTCTAAACAGTATTAGTGTGACACTCATTTTGAGGTATATAAAGCCTTCATGGTCGCTATAAATTCACTCAGCAAGACAACAGCTGATTGGGGATCCCGCGTTTGGTGAGACGTTAATATCCTTCGGTTTGTACTGGTGCAGGCCTAAGTTTCATGGATCTTTACCGTTTTCTCCTTCCTTCCAAAGTGGGCCTGCCTCCGCTTGCAGAGTTTCTGTAAGGCAGACGCCTGCACTGGTTAGTGTGCAGTTACAAATGTGTCCCTGCCTCCCGATTTAGCCAGACGTGCTCATAGAAGTGAAACTAATTACTGGGGAAATTCCCTAAGTGCCTGGACTATTTACCCCAGCAGTGACGAAGCTGGCAAGTGTAATTAATCAGGGGGGGGGGGCACAGGTCGCTCTCAAATAGAGGAATTATTTCGATTTATCTGCCCTATCTCTTTTGCCATTGAAATATCCATCCATCCATCCATCTATCCATCCATCCATCCATCCAATCTAATCTATCTATCATAATCTAATCTCACTTACTCACACAAAGTAATTTCCCCTCTCTGCTCATGACTTATACCCAATACCGCCTGCTGCTTGGCCCTCCAATAAGAAGCCTTCGATTTGTCGATTTGCATTTCTGATGTCATACTTGGGTGATTTCATTAGGCTTAAGTTTTGACAACGGAAAGTTTCACGAGTTTCTTATAAAATGGAATAAGTATCTGATTACCTTTCACTCTTAGGCAGGTGATGCTTAGTTACATCCGTGAGCCAATTAAATGGCCATATTTGCTAACAGGATTTTAAACAAAAATTTAAGATTTCTAAGAGATTGTGCACATGCACACACACACACGTGCACATACATACACACACGCACATACACACACTGCTCACCCAAGTCCTCTTAAGGCTTTATTCTCGGTCTCGACCATCTTTTTATTTCAGAAACGAGCTAAATTATATCCCCTTTATTTTAATTTGGGTTAATAAGGATACTCATTATGTGCTGGGCACTGCCAGAAGCTGCTGTAATAAAGAAAGCATGTGGAGCCCATTCTAGCATATTGCATTTATCCAGACAATCAATACTGTCCGGCTCACCTGCTTAGGTAGACGAGCTGCTCCTGTAATTCAGCAATATCTGTAATAGCTTCAGAATTACTCTCTGCTCCAGATGGAAGTGAAGTAACATTTTGAATCACAGGACAAATGGAATGTTGTGCATCGCATTTTTACATAAATGTCCAAGTTCTCTGTCAGAATATAAACTGAATAAGCTTCATTTGCATAAAGTATTACTATCAACAAAACATACATTTTTAAAAGCTCAAATTCACTACAATGAATAGAGGGATTTTTGTTTTTCTAAAAACAAAATGAAGGTTTAGGAGAGTTGGGGGCCATTAAATTAAATGATGTACTGAGAATAGAGCAGATACAGACTTATCAGGTCGTCTATAACTTTAGATGTTAATCCACCTCTCTGTCAGTTACCTGGACACCCCTGAAGACACGAGAAAATACTCCAGGGCAGAATCACTCACCCCACTGTCTAGCTGAAGATAATCAGCAATTACATCTTAACATAACCACTTACAATATTCTCAAGGGTTACAGCCTAATATGCAAATAATATGCATCACTTACTACTTTGGCAAATGAGAAACGTACTTCAGTTACAACACAGGAGTCCTGCCAAAATGAGCAGATGGGCATGTGAATCCCAGCACATTTCGCACCAGAGACCTGATCGAATTTGTTTTTACTTTTCAAAATTGGATGTTTGAAAACTTGATGTGAATCTTGTATGATTCTAACTGAATGGTGCATTTTAAGGCAAGGCACACACCGTCATTTAGCACTAACTCCTGTTTCTTACGAAAGACCATGCAAAGACCGGAACACGCCGCATACATTTACTGTGTGTGTGGAAGAAACGCGAAAGAGGTATGAAGCGGAACAACATGTAACATGTCAGTAACATGGTAACTGAATGTATTTCAAGCATTAGATGCATTTTAGGTTGAGTGAAAGTCAACACATTGTTTGTTTTAATGACTAATTCTAATTTAAATATTGTTAGAAACAACCAAGTTTGTTTAGATGCATTCACAGGGGACGGTATATAGCTTTGGAAAAAAAACGAATAAATGTTCTGCTCACTCATGCACCAGCCGTTACAAATGATACTCAAACAGAAAATTCTTAAATAACCCAGTCAGTGATAAGCTGGCACACGTTCATTCATGTGGAGGCATTTTTTTTCTTTTTGTCTGCAAAGAATTCAATCTCAACAAGACACTAAAACAGAGCAGGAGTAATGAGATCATCCCTGCAATGAAAATGGCATTTTCAGTCTCTGTCAAAAGCATGTCGTGTCTGTGCAGGCCAGCTCAGTCTTTGTGCAGTAAGTGTTACAAAGCCTAACTTAGACCTGTCTGCTTACTTGTTCATATATTGCATTCCGCACAAACTGTAACACTCATCAATCCATTCCATATCTGCCAGACACAGAGAATGAAGCTGGATTTCACTGCAGCTGCTGAGCTCTGCATTGTCAAGAGCTATAAAGCTTTGAATGCTGCCCTCTGAATCCATTTGCCTTGAACAAACTGACAACTAGACACAAATAGGTCAATAGAAAAGCATATTTTTCCCTCCAGACCCAAACTGGATACACAGCATAAATAAAGCTTTCTCCATGAAGAGCTGAATGAGCGCTTCAGATGATGAATGTACCACATTAACTGCAGACCAGAATCGCACGTCACCCTCTGACAGGCAGGCGAACGGCTACAGCAACATCCAGGCTCGCAAAGACAGCCGCCCTGCAGCTCCTGGGAGAGGAGCTGTTAAGTCTGAATCTGGGTTATTTTTCGGTGTGAAAACATGGATTTTGTAGAGAAAAGGAAGGAGAAAACGTGAGAGAGAGGATAAAATCGAACCGTTATTCTACGACTCCCTCTAAGAACAGCGAGCGGTGCAAGAATGAACAATTAACAATAGCTGATGTTAATTTTACGCCTGTGTGCGTTACAGTTATTCACACACGTTTTCGGCTGTGTTCGTGCATCAATCGCACTCTAAGGAATTTGCCTAATTAATTTATTATAATGCTTACGGTGAAGAGCAAATTAGGAAGGTCAGGCAGGCATGCAATGTGTAACTGCATACAAGTGATTAAAATGTAAGTCTGTTAATGTTTTAATTCTCCATCCTGACACCATGTGGTCCCAGATTACAGGCCGGCAGTGAGGCCAGCAGCAGTTTGATGGACACTCAGTGGGGCGGTTCTCCTTCACCAAATACCAGGAGGGTGCCGAGGAAATGCCAACGTGACCTACAGTGTCATCCTCAGACTGCGGGGAATCAGGAGGGCGGCGTGTGGCTGCACACTCATCCTCAGACTGAATGTGGTATCATAGATTAGTGTGTAGTCAGGTTTTGACTCTCTGGGGGAAACATCCGGACAGATATGAAGTGGGGGGGCGTACCGCCTGTATCTGTCTGAGCAAGACGACAGACCAGAACCTAAATCATCACCTCGTCTATTTCACCCCCGAATAACCATTAAGAACCCATTTCCCTTCCAGTAAGGGGGGGGGGGGAGGTTACCTTTGCATGCAAACAAACAACCAGGACATTTGCGTTAAGAAAGTGGGATGACAAATCAAACCAGGGTGGAGTCATATAATAACTAAAACATTAAGAATACAGCTACTTTATTTGTTTTGTTGTTAGTATAGAGAGAAACACCACAAAGTCCCCAAGAAAAGCATGTGTGTGCTGTTGGAGTGTGTGGACAGGGGGTCACAGAAAGTGCAGTGTGGATCTGACATGCAACATCCCACCCCCCCTGTAGAGGGCGCCGTCACGCCTGTCCCTTAGCCAGCTGCTGGATGCGCTCGGCCAGCTGCAGGCAGTGCAGGATGCGTCGGCGCTCCGCGGACAGGGCCTCGTCGGGCACCTGGCCCAGCAGCTTCTGGCCGAAGATGCAGAGATCCTGCGCGAAGAGCCCCACGGCGTCCCGCGGCGCCTCCGGCAGCCGGTCCACTGTGCCGCACGCCAAGCGGAAGCTGATGGCCTTGGAGCGCCGGAGGCCCGGGCCCCGCTCCTCGATCCACGTCAGGGGCCTGCGGAGGGCGCTAGCGTCAGGCCGGGGATCTCAGTGACATTAGCAAAGACACCGTCATGAAACCCGCAGCGGGAGCTAGAGAGAGCTACAAGTCTGAAGGGGGAAAAACTGGAAGCACCTTCCTAGTGTAGCTGACAGGAAGGGCACCTTGATGCAGAGCAGAGAGCTGTGGTTCTGATGGCAGCCGAGCCTTTCCAGTACTCTGGGGGCTTCAGGAGTGTCTGTGTCTCACGGGGAGGATCTTCCAGCTTCTTAAAGTGCTCGCCGCATAAATGGGGCAACAGCTACATGACTGCGGGTTCTAAGAGCGGCTCTGGCAGCTGCCTGCATGAGCGGCCAGCAAACTTAGAAACGCGATGTTTATCATTAACGGGCACGACCGAGCTTTGGCGGGCATTAAGTGCGACACTGCCCTGGATGCCTAAGGAACATGTACCGTTCCAAAAGCAGTGAGGGCAGATTCTAACAGCACACAAAGATTAATCAAACGGAACAAGCACAGATTCCAGGAACCTCTCTGACAGCAAATGGTGACAAAAGCAGCACGATTCCCAGATTATCGGTTCTCCCCTGAAACGGCGAGGGGCGCGCGGTTCCCTCAGGGATGGCGCGGTTCCCTCAGGGCTAGCAGTCCCGTTCAGGCCGGCGACAGCGGCGTGGACACGCCGTACCTCTGCTCCTCTGTCAGCAGCCGGGCCGTGAGCTTCACGTGCTGCGCCTCCACGTCCTCCTCCACGCTGGCCCCCGTCACGCTCAGCTCACCGAACAGGTCCACCAGCCAGGTCAGGCGGGAGACGCCGCTAAAGGCCAGGGAGGCGAAGCCAGCCGGGAGGGGGCCGCCTGCGGGAGTACGAGGCAAGTGGGGGCCATCAGTCACAGGACAGCCAAGTGCGTCACCCTCCCCAGGCTGAGGCTAACAATGAATCCATAGGCTGATATCAAACCAGAGCAGAGATGCAGCATCTACTGACCCCTAGAGCACTGCTGACGGCACTGCACATTACACTGCACATCACACTGCATGTCGTACTGCACGTCGGTGGCTTAAGAATGCAAGGTCTAGCCATAATTTAGACCACCTTTCAACTACAAGTACATTGAACTGAAAAGGTGCTGCTATGCATAAGGTACAGAGTCATCTTCCTTGGCTGTCAGCACATAAATCTGAGAGCAGATCTTCTGCAGATCTTTTACTGGTGGAACCTGAATTTCTATCCAGATCCATTAAATTGACAGCGGACAGGACAGACACAGGCAGCATACATCACACTCCCTTCATTATGAAGACACGTCCTCAGCATAGATTGTGTCTGGGAAACAGCTGGGACAGATGTGGGGGGTGGGGCTGACAAAGTCCCCTCATCCACCCAGCGGCTGACGCGGGTTACGCTGCATCCGGACGCCCAGCCAGCGGCGTGACTGAGGCTCATGCAGTACCTGGGGGGCGGCCCAGACGTGCGCCCTGCTACGTTTGCGATGACCGGGGGTCCTCGTTAAGGAGGAGGGGCCAGTGAGCTGGGCTGCCGTTCGCAGAGATTTATGCAGGGGCAACGAAAGGTGGAGAATAGAAGGACAGCTTCATGGCTTTGAGAGACTGAAGTCCGAAGATCCCTGTAACATCAGTGGGATCTACGAGGCAGACACCTCTCCTGGGAACTCGGGAATTAGCAAGTCGAGTCACAGTCACTCCTAGCAAAAGCGCGGGAGAAGGAGACACTGCCAGGCCAACGAGGAAATACGGTTTGCGGAGGACAGCGAAGGCCTGAGCTGAACCCAGCAGGAGCTCTGGGAGAAGCAGAACATGGAATTCGGACAAAGCCTGGAGTTCAGTGCCAAAGAAATCATTATGGCCAAAGAACCCTGCTCATTTCCTGCAATAAAACGGCATTTCCTTAAATATTATACCTGGATGTGGCCCAGGATGCCCCCTGCAGGACTCACCTGTGAAGTGCAGACTCCCTTCCAGAAGCTTCTTGCCAGATAGCTCCTTTTTCAGCTGCTTGTACTCAGCTGTGAGCAGCTCAATGTGCTCCACATGCAGCACCTTCCCTGTAGGGCAGACGTGGGGTTAAAACCCAGCACCAGACGTGGGGTCAAAACCAAATGCTTATTTGGAATTTTTTTTAAATCAGGGATTTAGAAAAATCAAGATTCACTTTCATAGATATACTGTATATATGAAAGCTAACCCTGAAAGAAATACACTTTAACGCTTCAAATCTATAGTGGTGGCCTAATGGTAACTGAAATTTTGCAGGTTCGAATCCCCGACCAGCAAGGCACCACTGAGGTACCCTGAGCAAGGTGCCGCCCCCAAGCACTGCTCCCCGGGCGCTGAGTTAGCTGCCCCCTGCTATGTCACATATGGGTTAAATGCAGAGGACACATTTCGTTGTTGTGCACTGTGGTGTGTCAAGAATGATCACTAATCACCAAATTCAGATCTACACAGTTATGAAGCTGAGCCAAGAGGAAGTTCTACGATTAAAAAATACAACCCTTCAAGTCCACGAGATTCCTATGAAAAGCATGAAAAACGTCTAATGCACGCAGAACCACAAAGGAGAGAGTGCAAGACGGTATGGAGATCTAACTGTAAAGCAGGGCGGCTGATGCTGGGAGACGCTCTTTAGCTGACAAGGTTGCCCTGGATCTGCTCTGCTCACCCTTTCCAGCGGCCAGGTCCCAGAGCTGGACGGCGGCAGCGTGGGACAGCGCCATGGGGTACTCCACGCAGACGTGCTTCCCGGCCTCCAGGAAGCTCCTGCTCACCAGGAACAAGAGGCAGAGTGACAGTCACCGGGTAAGTGATCACGCGACACTCGGCTTAGCAAGTGGATTAAGGGAACATGATGGTGAGGAGGGACTGCCCTCATTTTAATGAAAACCTGAGGAACTTTAAAAAATGCAGTGTGTAGAGGCTGGCATGGCGGTCAATAGGAGTGTCTGTGCCTCGAACCCCAGTCCTGCAGGGTCTCTTTGCATTCCAGTTATGTGAATTGGGGTCTTCAAGCTTCCCATGGTGTGTGCAATTGTTTGTGAGTATGTGGACCCTGCCATGGGCTACCATCCACCCAGGATGTTCATCTCCTCTGTCTGTGCCTCCTTAGGCCCCAGAGGGCCAGGGGCTACCATCCACCCAGGATGTTCATCTCCTCTGTCTGTGCCTCCTTAGGCTCCAGGGTCAATGTGACCCTATGCTGAATAAGTGATCTAAAGATGGATATGCTATACTGTATACAGTGTATGCTATACTGATCTTCTTGTATATGTTCTACCAACCAGATTGCAACTAAAGCTTGTGTCACTTCATTTGTCCACACACCCATTATTTTTTAATTATTAAGTCTATGGTATAATAGCCGAAAAAAGCCCAATACTAACAGGCTGAAAGGAGCCATATCAGTACCTATTGCAGTAGAGTCGGACATATTTCGGGCAATACATCAATTCCCCTCCCATGCGGTTAAACTGGGACAAGGACAGTACTCTGATTAAATGGCGTAGTCGAGCTATACCCGTAGCTGGACTTAGCTGTGCATGTAAACATACTGACTGTCTAGACATCGGAGAACCTAGAGATAAGGATTCGTTTGTTTAACTGAAACCTGGCTTAAAGCAGCTTGCTCCATAAAACATCCATTTAAGTTCAGTTCTGAGTGTTACCAAAATAACGTCCAAGCAAACATTTAAAAAGTTCAGCTTTCCCTCCTCCAAAACTCAGCTCTAACTTTGCAAAAACAAATTAGTGCTGAACATCAGGAGAAAATCAGCGCCTTGCAGCCTCAGATGCGCAGGTCAGGGCAGACCTTTTCCTGCAAGTGCTGGGGTCACCCAATAATTAGTCTAGCGGAGGCCTGTAGTCAGTAAACACTGAAAAGAAAACAAGGCTGCGCCCAATATTCCCGCTGGAAGCTGGCAGCTGAAGGACAATACCTGGTGTTCATTGGGGATAATTAGCCCAAAGCAGCAGACAGTGAATCATGAAAATGTTCATAAAACCTCATTAAAACAGGCCTGAAATAACTCGCCATTCGTTACACGCCCCCCCGCCCCGCCCCGCCCCGCACAGGCTGGAGAGCCGCTATCCCGGAACGCTTGATTAATTGTGTTTTCCGATAGCTGGATCACGGCAGCCATTAGAATGTGCCTGTCAACAGACACGGCACTGCCTTCAAGACGAGGCACAAGAAATGATTATAAGAAATGATTATAAGAAATGCCAAAGCCGGGCTGTGGAGAGCAGGACGCGACTCTGTGAATGCTGGGGGGGGGGGTCCTGCGGAGAATCAGCATTGATCCAGCACCTGCTAATGAAGGCGCCTGCTGTCCGCCAGCTGTAGAGGCAGCCTCTGAACCCGCCACCTGCAGGAGGAGCGAGGGAGCTGCGCTCAGCCCCCCCAGCGGCATTCACCATGCAGCTGGCACCGTTCACCTCTGACTGGCACCGTTCAGCTCTGACTGGCACCGTTCACCTCTGACTGGCACAGTTCACCTCTGACTGGCACCGTTCACCTCTGACTGGCACCGTTCACCTCTGACTGGCACCGTTCACCTCTGACTGGCACAGTTCACCTCTGACTGGCACCGTTCACCTCTGACTGGCACAGTTCACCTCTGACTGGCAGTTATCTGCCACCACTGTACAGTGCCGTGCTCCAGTGCCACTGCTGTATTTTATGCTCTGTTATAACCTCAATGCAGTTTACTTAGCGATGTGACTGCGGGTTAAGGCCTAGACAGTCACAGCTTAGAGGTTTGAACTTCCCGTGTGAGACACGAGGAGATAAGAGTTAGCGGTGCCACCTGACGGCCTCTGCTGTGAGTAGGTGAGGTGACGGATCACCATGGAGACGCGATGTCATCATCACACACATGGCCGACTCAAAGGGCCTTAAAGCAGCTCAATGAATTGAAAGCATCTCCATTAACTATGAAATTTGCTGAAACCATGCTGAACCTTAACTGGACAATAGTCCCCTCCCCCAAAATGACACTGCCACAAGTTGTACAGAACATCAAGCCCCACAGATCAAGGACTGTAGGTCTCGTTTCAAAATTGGTAGGGACCAAATCAGCCCACACACCCCTCCCTGGACACACATGGTACCCCCCAGTCTTGGTAGGGACATGTCCTTACTATCCATACCCAAATCTACACTCTTGGCACAGACCTATACAGGCATATCCAGTTTAACCTCATTTTAATTTCAGACATGTGACACTACTGACATCTAGTGGGAAGAGTAACATCTAGTCCCAATACAAATCCAGGATCTGCAGCAGAATTATTGGAGCTGTACCTAGAGACACCTGCACAGTACCTGTCATGCTCTTTGTGGGATTATTGGGGCTGTACCTAGAACTCCCATAAGGCGGTATGATGGTCATGAAGATGGTGCGGGTGAGACACCTGCACAGTACCTGTCATGCTCTTTGTGGGATTATTGGGGCTGTACCTAGAACTCCCATAAGGCTGTATGATGGTCATGAAGATGGTGCGGGTGAGACACCTGCACAGTACCTGACGTGCTCTTCGTGGGAGGAGTTCTCTGTGCTCACTATGGCTGCATGGATGTCCTCGCGACTCAGGGCTTCCTCCAGAGGGATCTGCTTCACACCCTGCTGATCTTCCAGAGCTCTCCTGTGGAGCACAGGACCATGCCACAGGGAAAGGGCCATCAGAACAGGCCTCATCATTTAAAAAGACAATAACAGAGTCATTCTCCAACCAGAGCACTACACTCTGCACAAGTCAACACTTTTCCAAGTCCATCATTGTACGGAGTTTTGTAAAGAAAATGAAAGTTATGTTATGTACTTGTCACTGTGATTCAGTCGGCATAGTGCACATTTGGCTTCGTCCTTCCATCTAATGAGGTCTCCCGTAACTGTCGCTGGCTCACCTGGAAACAAACCCTTTGATGCTGAACTTCTCGGCCGGGCTGGACGGCAGAGGCGACACCAGGTCCCTGATCCTAACCTGGCCTGCCATGCCGACCCCTAAAACCACCACGCCGAACATTCTCCCCTGGGGAGGAAGTGAGAAAGCGACAAAGCATACTCGATTGTGGGTCTGTGTCTGTGTGAAATGTGCACTGCAAACAGGCGGAATCAGAAAAAAAAATCCAAAAACAATGATGAAATTCAAGGCCATAGTGAATTACTGAGGAATATTTAGAACATCTTTTAGAAGCAGCTCCCTTTCATGCATTTCTTATTCGAAACACAGTACTTGAGGAGAGAATCCCAAACAAAGCAATTTTAGCTATAGGCTATTACCTGACAGGTTATTTGACCAATTGATTTATGTAACCATTTTATATAATTTCTGTTGCCACAGGAGTTGTAACTTCCTTCCAGGGGTGTTCCTTACACTGTCGAGTGTAAGAGGTCTGTGAGTCTGTGCACGCTACACTGTCCAGTGTAAGAGGTCTGTGAGTCTGTGCACAGTACACTGTCCAGTGTAAGAGGTCTGTGAGTCTGTGCACGCTACACTGTCGAGTGTAAGAGGTCTGTGAGTCTGTGCACGCTACACTGTCCAGTGTAAGAGGTCT